GTTACCATGAAAAGCCACTAGACATTCAACATTGACAATCTCGGCATGTGGCACCAGTCGCCAGTCTATGGTGTTTTGGCAAATGTGGTTCATTGTGTAAGCCACTGCGTTTTTAAATAGGCCTGCTGACAAACGCAGCTCATTGTAAATGTAAAAAGAATGACAGGAAATTGTGTGTGGGGTTTTATTAATCAGAGATATAAATGCGAGAAATTACTCAAACAAGAGCAGATGCCTGAGAAAACAGTCTAAAGGACCTGCCTGAGGATTGCTTGAGTAGCTTGCGCTTATAGGCCTTTAAGAAGTGGCCCCGCAAAAAAAATGCTAAACGGTAAAGTTGATAAATTGGAAACCATTTGTTCTGACTCTAAAAATTAAAAAAGAAAAATATCACTGTTTGTGTGGCTCGTTAACAGCAACCACTCAAACGCAAGGAAAAACCGAGGCTGTAGCACACAGCGTCCAGTGAAACCACCTCTGAGTGGACAAAGACCCAGCGTCAAACCTACAAAGTGGCACGAGCAAGCTGCCGTTTTTCTTTACCCCAACTTTTACCTCAGCTTGTAATTACATTTTTCCCGGGCAAATATAACTGAAAACGGTCGTTTAAGCAGCACTGAAATGGCCAAAACAACCAGTCCAACTGCACCAACTTAACACAGTTCATTTGCGGTTACAAGGCTTACCTTAGTGTTCACTCCAGTGAGAATGGGCAAACAGCGACACGCTCAACAACAAACCCCGAACCAGAACCCGCCAATCAAATTGTAAGTTAGGGAGCCCGCGCGAAAGCCGCGAAAATAACCTCCTACATCCACATAACCACCGGTTTCTCTATTTTTCTTTCTTTTAAAACAAGAACCGATCATGAAGTGTCCGACCTATTATAGCTTGTTTTTTTCCGTCGCAGGCTGACTGCCTCCACCTCAAGCACTCGTTTCAAGCTCAGTCTACGGGGCTGCCAACTTCCGCTCTTTGCTTTCAAAATAAAATACCTCTGGGCGTAGAGACGTTGCAGTCAAACAAGACTGAATTTGAAGTCCGGAGGAGATGGTGACAGAAATGTAACTTCCAGGTGGGAAAAATGGGCTTTTATTAAATGTCTTTAGATTTTTAAAGTTTTCTTTTAAGTTTTTAAATCATATATGTCTTATGTTTCGGTTTATGGCTTCTTCTTTTTTTTATCTCAAAGTAACCAATAGTTTTATTTAATAAGTTGATTCAGATGATTCGTCAGGATGTCTGCCCTTTTAAAGGTGTCTGGAGGCTTCACAAAAACTTGTTTCCAGAGGAATTCTGGTTCTTCTCCTTCAGCCGACTGCTCCTTTTAGAGCGTCACCACATCAGATGCTCTGACTCCATCTCACCCTATCACTGACAACCTCCTCTGTCACACAACCACCTTCACTACATCCACAAATCGTCTCTGTCATCTTCCTCTTTTCATATACAGTAGCCTTTGTTCAATCTACCACCTATCCCTCCTCTGTACATGTCCAAACTCTCTCAGCATTGCCTCTCTAACTTTCTTTCCAAACTTGTCCATGGACTTACCTGGTGAGTCACAATGAAAATTTTAACATTTCCAAACCACACATAACAGCAGGTCTCACTACCCTCCCAAGGTGGCTGTGGCTTAGGAGGTAGAGTAGCGCCAGAGTATTCTTGGATAAGATACTGAACCCTGAATTTCTCCTGATGTTCATCAGAGTGTGAATGCTAGATAAAAAAGCAATTAGATGGAGAGAAAAAAGCGCTTGTATGTGTGTGAATGAGACATGTTGTGAAATGTACTAATAAAAACCTGTCCATTTATTTTTTATTGTAAACCTTCCTTGTTTGCATGTTCACCTTTCCACCTGTCTTTGACTTTTTACGACGACTTATGAATATATCATGTCAACCCCCAAATTATTTATTAATTGAACATGAAACAGCTAAATGTGAAAAGAAATGCAAGAAGGATGCAAATAAAGATTATGAAATTGAAAATATTTTATTGTCTATTTTAATTTTTATTCAATCTGCTGTTATTCATTTTTGCGCCTACAATTTTCAAGGACATTTCGCTCCTCTGTGTGAGCTAAGATGCATAATGCTTTTATTTTGAAGACAAATTCCTTAACTTCCGGTTTGATTTCGTTGAGCGCACTCAGCTTGATCGCCGGTCCCCTTGGTGACGTCACCCACACCGGGACTCGTACAGGACAACGCCGAGAGAAAGGGAGAAAATGTGGGGTACTGTGTCGCCCCTTGGCGACCACACTGGGAAATCTGATGTATTTTATTTTATTTTTTTAACATGAAAAGTGATTTTTTTTTTCAAAGCCTGCAAGTAATTATCTTGAGTAAACTCATAAACAAAAACTTTGTATTGATGAGTTCATCAAAAAGTCCCTCCTCGCCCGTCAACTATGTGATTAATCATTAATCATCATTCGTCGTATTACACTTAAATAAACTTCATTGTTCACACACTAAATTTAGACTTTGTGCGGTTGCTTTCTCACCTGTGTATTCCTTCTCACTGTTTTCATCACTCAGATGGTGTGCTATTTACTACTGTGCCATATACTAATCATCCTACACACTTGTAACTGTTAAAAATAACACGAGGCGGAAAAAAAGTTGCATTTAGCTCATGTTAGAATTAAAAACAGTCACACACCTTGACACTTCAGAGGTCCAATGAGCAAGTCTGATATTTACCAGTACTTGGGTTGAGTAATCAAAGAGCAATCAGATTAAAGGCACCCCCCCCCCCCCCATGTTTTATTTTGTTTCTCAGACACACCTAACCTACAGTGTATGACCTCATGAGTGCTGACAAGGCCACATTTTCATGAGTAAACCTTGAGCACGAGTAACTGGTTGCATAATAACAGGTTGGTTTTTACATCCAATCAAAACAAGTCAGTCCTAAGATGGTAATAAAAGAAAGCTGCACTGAATCTTAAAGTGATGCTGATCTAATTTAAAAATGGAGTCCCTACTGAAGTGTCCAAAGTGTCCCGTATTTCCTTGCTCAGTATCCCACGGTGATTTGCTGTTATAGGCACCATTCGAAATCAAATAATGTCTTAAATCTAATTTTGTTATGAGAATTAGAGCTGTGGCCAAAAGCCAGAATTAAGTCAATATCTCTACTGACTTCTTCTCAGCTATATACTTCATGTCAATTTTATGACAGATTGTCTGTCATGCAAGAAAAAATAAAATAGTATCGCCATTTTGCATGCTGTAAAAGTGCAGTCTCACATTAAGACTACATCCTGTGTGTCTGACTACTACACATTTGTAATTTATGACTGGATTTGGATCCTACTCAAAACACAGTTTTCATAGCCAAAACCTTCTGTTCCCACTAATCTCTTATATGCAATATCCATCTGTTTTAACAGTTCAGTTGGCCCAAATCCACAGATGCTGATTCATTTATGCGTACCTCGTTCCACTGCACCTTCACACGTCCCTATTAATTCCTGCAATGTAAAGCGAAGCAGTTACCAGTAAACGCCTTTTGACACTCATCTCAGCAGGCCCAAGCGACACTTTTTGTATTTATTTCAAGTGAGAAGTGAGAGTGAAAATAACACTGCACATGTACAGAGAGGCTCTTGAAGCATTGGATTTCCTGTCACAAGGGGGCAGAACATCCTTGAAAGAAATGCATATCCACTAATGATATGCCAAAAGCTTTAATGTGCCCTAAATGCTGCAGCAGATCAGATACAGTCCACCAAAAGTATCAGGATGGCCGCCTGCATCGTTCCCCTTCTGCAGCACAAAAGCTAAAATGCTTTTTGTCCCTTCTAATCCACCAAACTCTGCACCACCAATACAAAGTCCCATTCGCATGCATATTGTAAGAAACAGTACTAAAAAGATAAAGTATGTGACTTGGATCATGGACGCTGTCCCCGTAATCATGTGCGAATGCCTAACATACTAACCTTCATCACCATAGCGTCAGGATGCGACAAATAAATAACCATCTGCTGACCTTTTCACCCACACTCCACTCCTCCACCCCTCATTCACAACCACCCTGTCTTATTCATCATACACATTTTTTTTCTACCTCAACAAACTAATTTAATTCGAAGACAGCTGGATGAATAACTGCAAGCATGTGCTTATTTTTAAACATACACGTTAAAAGTTAAATCCGTTTTAATGCTGCAGACTCACGGGTAATTGGAAAGAGCTGATGTGTGTGTTCACACTGCTACACTTGGTATTATTAGATTTCCCAGTTGGACATCATTCAACATAAAGTTCATTATATAACTTTCAAAAACAACATTACATGTCTAAGGGGGGAGGAGGCAACGTTTAATGTTGCTGAAGAAGTGCAAAATGATTGGAATGGTTTGTCTTTCATACCCCACTCCTCCTAATCCCGAGGCAAACTTGATTTATTAATCGGGACTGAGTCACACATGTCACCACTCTATCTGCTCCTGCTATAACCAGGATGTCTTCCATTTTAGAGACACGCCCCTCATATTCTCACCAGTGACACTGTATTGTTGACTACTGAGGGGCCTGCAGCTGAGCAGAGCTATAGTTACCATGCTGATGAAACTGGATGTTTATTTTGGCAGAAAGGCGCCCCGTGTTTAAGTACACCTGACCGGAGGTGGTGATGTACGTGATGAACCAGCGGCTCCTGTGCTATGTTTGCAATTCACTGACCTCGAGGCCAAGTGAGACTTTTAGTCTTATGAAATATAGATTGCATATGATGGAAATGAGCATCTTTGCTCCTTCAAGGAGAGGATGTATTCATCAAAATGCAGAAATGTATTAGCTTGGTGTCATAGATGTAGATATGGTGCTTTTCCCCGTGCTGTTAAAATATCCACAGTGGAAAAGGCTGGTTTGAAGAGGGTATGAAAGCTGGTTAGTGGATTGCAGAGAGTTACAGATAGTTAATGGCTGGATATTAAAATTAGCTCTCACACGTGTTTCTGGAATAAAAAGCAGAATCAGAATAGTTTAATAATCCCCTGTGGTTGCACAGCCAGCACTATTCATCACCATTCTACAACCATGCTTAACAGCTGGTATGAGGTGTTTCTGCTGATATGCTGTGTTCGGGTTTTCTCTAAATGCAGTGCTGTGTGATATACCCAAACAGTTCCACTCTGGTCTCATGTATCCTAAGGACATTGTTCCAGAAGTCTTTTTTGTTTTATTCAGGTGCAACTTTGCAAACCTAATCCGTGCTGTCATGTTCTTGTTAAAGAGAAAAGAGGCTTCCATCCAGACAAGTCGTGCAGTACTTGTTGAGTGCGTTTCTAACTGCACTCTCATGAACTTTCACATTTAGCATGCTAACAGAGTCAGAGATGTAGCTCTTGAGTTAACTGCAGTTTCTCTGAGCACTGCACAATGTGACCTTGAGTTGAATTTGTTGGGACGTCCAATCCTGGAAAGTTTGGCAACTGTCTTGAATGTTTTCCATTTGTGAACAATCTTTCCCTCCGCAGGATGACAGCCCTCTCTGGCAGAAGGAAGCCTTTCTGTCAGAAAAGCTTTTAAGTCTTCCAAAACAAACTCCTTGCATTCTGAAAAAAGAAATGTTGTGAAGGGAAACATCTACCACTACCACATGAGATGTTTTGTATCTGGTATTGGAAAGCTATATACATCACAGTGACATGGCTGATCAGCTGGAATGATGGTGTTAGAGCCACATTAATATGATTCCTTAGGGGAAAAAACACAAATACAAAAATGTTTACATACACACCAAACCAGCTCCCATCTGCAGTTTCTTATTTATCATACAGACATGAAAGAGGTACCAGTTCTGTCATCTCCCAGGAACAACAAGGCTGACTGTTGTAGTAATCACAAGTTACATTTACACTGTATAAACTTCTACACCTGGATAAGTTCATTCTTACACAAACATTGATTTTTGACCAGCATTTTGCAGAATTAAATGTTTAACTGCACCTCTGATGTGTCATGGTGTCAGGTTTGTTTCGCTTACCTGGTGTATCTCTCGGATGAATTCATTTCCTGTCTTTGTTTGCTTCCCACCTTTTGTGTTTGCTCCATCCATCCTGGGTTCCTTGAATTGATTTTTTGCTTTCTTTCATTGATTCCTTTTCCTGTTGTTGGATTTTAAAAAATGGCTTGTGTTAGATTACCTGCCCATTGTTTTCAACAGCATCCTGTTTTCTTTTTGTTTGTCTCCTGGGTCAAGTGCTGTCAAATGTTTGCTGCTTTTTTTTTTAGACAGAACATTTTTAAAAGATCCAATGATTATTTGAAGACTGCAGAAATGTAACTGTAGTCAAGCAAGGAAAAGCAAACAAAAAGAAATGAATATTCATGTCATAATACCTAACTGTAGACGTTGGCAATACAAAATAAGAAAAAAAGAAAATAAAGAAAAACAGCTGGAGGAACATAATACGGTTGATTCCCAGGTTAGTAAGATTACTGAGAATCAAAAGAACATGTTACAGAGTTTCTCAGAAGATGAGCAGAGGTTCGCCTGGTATCTGCTAAAAACAGTGACTCGTGTTCTCATAAAATTGCTATCGCCTTGTCATCTAGAGTACATAACATCATCCAAAGTTACAGTGAAACTAGAGTAATCTCAGTGTCATCACAGGCCCAAGACTGAAAATCAGCATGGATGCCTGTGATGACACTGCATGATTCTGTCATGGAAACCACTGCCCAGATGTTTGTTGTGGGACTGTTATTAGATTTTAAGATTTTATTATTAAAATATTACATTTTACATTTTAAAATGAAATGAAATGAAACATTTGATGTTTGGCCTTATAAGATTTGCAAATGATTGAATTTGGTTTTGCTTGCATGTTACGTAATGGCCCGACTTTTTTGGAGTTGCTTGTAGAAGGGTTTCATCAAAATACAATGAATTAGAACTGTTCAGTTGAAGTATTGTTTTAATTTGATCGTGTTAACAAAATTACACAAAAGAACACTCAATTTTGTTTGTTTGCTTCCTTTTTTAAAATATTCATCTCATTTAAAACAATTGACCTCAAACGGCCTACAAACAAAACAGGGTTATACAACATCCAGTGGATCCCTTTCAGTCATTCTACAACGCCTCAAACATAAACTACTGTGTAAGAAAAATACTACAAAGACCCAGATAACAAAGCAATGGTAAAAGAATCAACCTGTGTTTAGATTATTTGTAGCACAAAAAAAATAAACATTGAAATGGACACAGACGGTTGTTGTTTTTTTTTTAATTTAAAGATGAGAGAATAAAGGTGGGGAAAAGCTAAAGGATCAGAAATAATCCATGACTGATTGTTGTTTGCTTCTTTGGTTTCTTTGGATCATTTGTAAAGTTTCCGTGTTGGATTGTTCGAAGCCTGGGATAACAACAACTGCTGTTCAACTACTAGAATTTCAAACTCAATACCCAGTAAAATACTCAACACTCAATATTATTTTCAATATGGCTGTCAGGCAGGACGGAAAGAGGAAGAGCACAGAGAGGATTCATGGATCCAGTGAAGGTGGACATGCAGAGGGTTGGTGTGACAGAGGTGGATGCTAGAGACAGGGTGAGATGGAGGCAGATCAGTTGTGGCAACCCCTAAAGCAGAGGTGGGCAATCTCAGTCCACGAGGGCCGGTGTCTCTGCAGGTTTTAGATCTCACCTTGGCCTCTGGAGAACTTCAGGACATGTTGAGGAGCGAATTTAGCCATTTAAATCATCAGCTGTGTTGGTTCGAGGACACATCTAAAACCTGCAGGGACACCGGCCCTCGTGGACTGAGATTGCCCACCCCTGCCCTAAAGGGAGGTCAAGAAGGAAAAAAAAAAAGGAGAGGAGCCTACATTTCTTGTTTAAATCACATAAGCAATAGTTAGTTGTTGTTTTCAGGTATCTGAGTCAGCAGATCCTTGAAACAAACTATATTTAATTCAGGTAATGTTCCTTGTTTGTAACAGTTAATAAGATCACAACCAATAATGGTAAATGTCAACTTTTAATTCTACTTCTGATTTGTCTCAGCTGATATCAATTTAGGCTTTAATAAAAGACATAAACCATATAACAGAGTCCTTTAACAATTTGATATAACACCAGATTTAATTGTGCTCTCAGGAGTCAGAATTACAAAAAATCTTTTATCAGTTGCCAAAATAGAATCAGTTGAAGCAAAAAGATGCCAAAAGTTATTTGTTATCATAAAAACTAATTTTTTTAAAAAGGACATTCATGATTCAGCTGACTCTGTGTTAGGAATGATCCCAGAAATAAGATTTGTGGAAACTAGAGATGCTATTATCTTGGGATGTTCTGATTTCTGATTTCTATCTAAGTGTGACTGGCAGGTTGTCTTTCTAAGAACTATAGCTGACAGCATATACAAGCAAACATCATCGGTCCTTCAGTGCAAAATGTAAAATTTTATTTAATAATGCTGGATTCCGGTTCCTGGGCGGTCAATCCGTGCATCTCTAATAGAAGCATCTAAACTGTATACCGGTAATTCCCTTAGCATGATCTATCACGGCGAAATTCAGTTTTCAATCATTAATGCATTTGCTTAAGTCCTAAACAAGACGTAAACTCTGTGCTGTTTACTACCACATTTCTTCAATAATTTAGCATTAGGAAGGTTCCCAGACTGCTGTGCCGCACAGGATAATGTGCATAATTTGTTTAAAGAAAACCGTGAAATTTCTCAAAAACTGTCTGCATTCTGTGTTTTGCAGACTTTTGAAAGGCATCCTTTCAGAGACGAGAAAATTACACAGAGGACATTCACATGACTGGACTGGCACCACTAGGTCATTAGAAGCAGCTGATCTCACTTCACTGAAAGCACCCAGAGAAGAAAAATCATCAAATTGTAGTTTCAATTATTTAATTTTTAAATATTAGGAACCTTAAAATATATTGAAGATTGAAGAGAAATCAAGTTAAAGTGAGAATGTGCTGTCTTTTCACCATTCACAGCTGAGCAGGTCAGTCAATGAGTCTGTGTCCTAATCAAATATCTCAAATAAAAACAGAAAACAGCTCAAGCAGAAATCATTTATTTGGATGGTTTTCCCTCATCATGAAAAAATACTCAACTAAAACATAACAAACAAACAAAAAAAGTACTCTTGTTGTTCCCTTCACCCACTGGAGAGTCACAAAAGACCAATATTAGATAGCACAATACAAAAACTGCTGTCTTCACTGCGCTGACTGATAACAGGAGTGTGAACCGTGAAATCCCCAAGATGCAAAGTAAAAAAAACAAATACAATAAAATAAAATACAATAAAATAAAATAATAAAACACTTTAGATGGACATTTAAAACTGTAGACTGAGACACAGTGCTGCATAATTATATCTTTACAGGTTGAACAACCTGCATCAAGCGGTATGCATGATTACAACGATACATGCAGAGTACACTTATAGATGATATTATTTGGCAAAGTGCTTTGATGAACTCACAGTTGAGGTCATTAACTGTTACTGTAGTGCATAATATCATTGACACATTTATTTCATTTGTTTTGCAGATTTCAAGTGAGGACCTGCTTTAAACCTACGGCCCAAAATCTGCTCCAAAACCAGTGCCATGCTAGTTACTGTGATTGCTGCAAGGGCCTGCTTGCGTTTTTTTTTTTCCATTACCAAAATGTATGCCTTGGTTTTACTCGTAGCTGTGCATCAGTCATTGATGGGGTACAGTGAAATTTCTGGACTGGCTAATGCCGGCCAAAACTACTGCTAAACTGAAAAAGTTGTCCAAACAGCACAAACAGCCACCTTTTTGTTATTCTACAAAGATGTTTTCCTCAGGAAGTCATAAATAATACCAGCAGCTATTGAAGTCTGTCGTGGTCCCAAGGTTTTAAGCTGTTGTAGTTTTGAGGAATGATTTATATTTGAGCTTTACCAAATTTTTTGTTAATGGTGTCATTTTCTATTTCCTTATGCTTCTACGTTTTGTTACCTGTTCACCTTTAGATTTCGTTTCCCTTTCCTGTCTGTTTTATCCTAGTCTTGTATCTGTGTCGTAATCCTTCAGTCTGTTCTCTGTATTTTTGTCCTTCTTGTTCCCCAGTTTAGTTGTTTGAAGTTAATCTTTTATTCTCATTCATTTGTGGCTCTCTTCCTGTTTTATTTTGGTTGTTTTTAACCCTCTGGTTCTCTGTCAAGCTTCACTTCCTCTTGTGTTAGTTGCCCTCAGCTGTGTGCTCACCTGCTTTCTTTCCACTCATTATATTGTGAGTATATATATTGGCTGTATCCCAATTCAGGGTTTGCAGCCTTAAAGTACGCAGCCTCAACGGTCCTCAAGGGCCGCTTACTTAAAGACCGCTAAGGCCGGAAGTGCGAGGCTTGTGAAATGGGATGGTCTAGCCTCCGTTGTGCTGCCCAGGTTGCCTAGCAACCATGATACTAACAGCTGGAAACGTTTCATACAACATTGTTTGACAGAAATGAAGGAGAAAATCTTTTGTTCATTTGTTTGTTTGTTTCTACATGAGCTTTGATCATTCTCTGATTAAGGTCAGCTATTGAACGGCGTATATTTTAAAGTAAAGGCTTTAAAACCAGCACAAACGTCACTAATGTCACATAACTTTGCCGACATGTGGCCACCAGTAATGTTTTAATGTTCTTCGTTATTAAACATTTGCACATAAATAAGTCACATAATATTCAGTACTTAGTTTACTATGTTACT